CAAAAAAAAAAAAAAAAAATTTACCTGGGCATAGTGGTGTTTGCCTGTAGTTCCAGCTGCTTGGAAGACTGAAGTGGAAGGATCCCCTGAGACCAGCAGGTCGAGGCTATGGTGACTGTGAGCTTGCCACAGCACTCCAGCCTAGGTGACAGAGTAAGACTCCGACTACAATAAACAAACAAACAAACATACATAAATACTTTCTGAAGTGGAAGGATCCCCTGAGACCAACAGGTCGAGGCTATGGTGGCCGTGAGTGTGCCACAGCACTCCGGCCTGGGTGACAGAGTGAGACTCTGACTCCAACAAATAAATAAATAAGGACTTTCTTTTTAAAAAAATGATTGCAACTGAAACTAACAGATATGATCAGATGCACCACACATATAAATATCAAAAGAAATTTAAAAATTGGAGCAATACTACAGTGCCCGAGATGAAAAAATTCCTAGCATTAAATTTTTTTTTTGAGTAGGAGTCTCATTCTGTCACCCAAACTGTAGTACAGTGGCACACTTACAGCCACCACAGCCTCAACCTGCTGGGCTCAGGCAATCCTTCCACCTCAGCCTTCCAAATAGCTGGAACTACATGTGTGCACCACCACACCTAACTAATTTTTTGATTCATTGTAGAGACGAGGTCTCGCCAAGTTCCCCAAGCTGGTATCAAGCCTGTGGGCTTAGGCAATTCTTTCACCTCGACCTCCCAAAGTGCTAGGATTATAGGCGTGAGCCACTGTGCCCAGTCCATTAAATATTTTTATGGGACAAGTGAAGAATACCACAGTACGTAATTATTGGTCAACATGTCCATCAATTGTGATGTTTTTCTTTTCAACAATAATGACAAGAAATAGATTCCTACAAATTTTGCGGGTTTTGCATTTTTCCAATACAGAAATGCTGTAAAATCCAAGCAGATTATGCAAAAATTGAACGCATAATAAATTATGTTTTTAAATAAATTCAACAAAGTATCCACAAAAACGTTGTAGAGTCTGCAAAGTTCATGGAAAGTGTGCTGACACTTTTTAAATATGCAAATCCTGTAGAATTCCTTTATGCAAAGGTCATTGTTTTATGGTTTATCACACAAAATAGGAATATTAAATTTCATCTTCCATTTTGTTTTTCCAAGATACATGTAAAATATTTCTAAGTAAGCATAATAATAAGTAGGCTATTATATACCTAAAAAGCAAGTATGCAAAACCACATCCAGTGTAATGTATACAACCCTAGAATATAACAACTTTCAAAATATTTTTTCTTCTGTTCTTCTCCACTTGCAACTTTTTAATGAAAAATTCTTTATTTTAAACAATAAATCTTTACGAGACTAATATTTCAAAACAAATTTTCTAATTTTTATCCCTGTCTTAACAACAGAAGTTTGCAGCAACCAGCTTTAGAAATTTTTTATTTTCACCTGCTCTCGTTATTAGGAAAGTGAAAAATTTGCCAGTTGCAAGTGTATTAAGTTTGCTTCTTATAAAAAGCATATGTACACACACACACACACACACACACACACACACACACACACATATTTTTTTTGAGTCTGGCTGGAGTACAGTGACATGCTGCTCACTTCACTCCAGGTGATTCTACTTCATCCTTCCAAGTAGTTGAAACTACAGGTATGCGCCACCACGCCCAGCTAGCTTTTTTTATTTATTGTAGAGACAAGGTCTGGCCAAGTTGCCCAGGCTGGTCTCAAATCTGTGGGCTCAGGCAGGCCTCTCGCCTGAACCTCCCAAAGTGTTGAGATTACAGGCGTGAGCCACTGCACCAAGCTATATATATGTTTTTAAAACCCTGGCGTTCTTAGTCTTTTAACAAACATGTGTCCCATTATAATTAATTTTGTTCACTGATTTTCTTGATCTACTTTTCCCCCTCTGCTGGTCTGTCATAATGTATTTCCATCCTGTTAAAAATTTATCTTACTATTTTTCAGTACTTAAGTATATTTTAAACACAATTTAATCAAAATATTTCTCCCAAACATGGTACTTTCTCCCTGCCATAGCCCCCAAGTTGATGACCTCCAAAAATTAATTCATTTATTTATTTAACAACACCATCCGAATGCCATATTTGCTTATTCTGTTTTGGCAATGTATTTGATATTACCCTTTTTTTTTTTTTGCACACAATTCTTACTGGGCTTAATTTTCTTCCTTATGGTACTGCTTTTAATAGTAATAATAATACCTAACACTCACATTTATTATGTACTAATCAGAATTCTAGGACAGGGGTTGTCAAACTACAGCATATTGTCCAAATGACCTCCTGCTTTGGTTGTATGGCCTACTAGCTAAGAGTGCTTTTTGCATGTTTAAATGGTTGGAGGTAAATATTGAAAAAGTAGTACTTTGTGCTGTGAAAATTATATGAAATTCAGATTTCAGTTTCCATAAATCAAGTTTTTTAGAACACATCCATGCATATTTGCTTATATATTCTCTGTGCCTGCTTTTGTGGTATGGTGACTGAGTCAGTTAGTTTCAGCAGAGACAACATACAGCTTGCAAATTAAAATATTTACTACTACTTTACCTTCTATAGAAAAATTTGTCTAGACCACACAACTTTCCAAAAAGTTTGTCAGCTAATTTAGATATTTTCAGCACTTTGGAGATATTTCAGTAGTATTCTCATTTCCATTGTTTGTTGAAAAAAAAGTTCTTCATTTTGTTGTGCCTTTGAAGACAATCCCTCTTTTTTCCTCTGGAGTTTTAAAATCGGCTTTATTATAATATGCCAGAGTGGGAGTTTTAATGTATTTATTCTACTTGGGGATAGTGGTGTTTTCCTTAAAACTATGGCCTTGTGTGAGCTGTTCTGGAAAATTACTAGCCATTATCTTGTAAATATTATTTTTACTGCATTTTTCCCCTCCTGCTAACATTTCAGATACAAATATATTAGGCTTTTTTAGCTTGTTCCATTTAAACTTTTAAATGTATTCTCCATCATTTGTTCCTTCTTATATTTCAGTCTGGATATTTACTGACATTTTCCAGTTCACTAAGTATTTCTTCAGCTGTGACTAATCTGTTAAATCCAACTATATATTTAAAATGTTTTTTCCTATCATTTTTATTGCTTGGTGAGTTGTATACTTGTACCTGATATTTTGTTTTTCTGCCTTTAAATATTCGAAGTTTTAATTAACTGTTTAACATCACAAAAGTAATGTCTATATGAGCTTTATCACTGCACTAGTAACATTGAATGCCGGCTGAGCTCGGTGGCTCAGCCTGTAATCCCAGCACTTTGGGAGGCCGAGGTGCGTGGATTGCCTGAGCCCACGGGTTCGAGACCTGCCTGGGCAACTTGGTGAGACCTCGTCTTTACAATAAATCAAAAATTAGCCAGGCATGGTAGCACCCACCTGTAGTTCCGGCAACTTGGAAGGTTGAGGCGGAAGGATCACTGGAGCCCAGCAGGTTGAGACTGCGGTGGCCAGGAGCGTCCACTGCACTCCAGTCTGGGCGACAGAGTGAGACTCCAGCTCAAAAAAAAAAACAAAAACATTGAATGCCAAATATTTATGTTTATATGCTTGTCTCCCTGTACACATCTTGAGACCAAAAAGTGTTTTATTCATCCTAGACACATATAAAATAGGATAGTGCCAGAGGTATAGGGGAATCTGAATAAATGTTTTAACTACAGGGGTGCCAAAAATGTATAAAGTATGACATTTGCTCAAAAGATGGCATTAATCAAATGAATGCTAGCTCACTATGTTACAGGCAGGACAGTCAAAGAAAATGGCAGAACGATTGAGCAAACATCGTACTACACATTGCTATTGTCATTTAATTCACTTCGAAAAGTAATACATAAATAACGTCTCTTGAAATGTGCATACTTTTTCTGGAATACATAAATAACATCTCTTGAAATGTGCATACTTTTTCTGGCACCCCCTGTATTTATGAGACATGAAAACAGTGAACAGTGTGGTGGTCTTACAACAACATGGTAAGAATAAGTTTTTGTCTGCCCTTTCAGTATCACTAAATGCTGATCATCTTAGGAAGAATAACAATATGCCATTTCAGGGATCAGTTTCATTCACGGATGTGACTGTCGACTTTACCCAGGAGGAATGGGAACAGCTGGACCCCTCTCAGAGGATCCTGTACATGGATGTGATGCTGGAGAATTATAGCAACTTACTTTCAGTGGGTAAGAATTGTAGTAGCTTACTTTCAGGTGGAGCTCACTATTTGTCTAGTAGCATTTATGTTCTTTCTGGGTTACCAAAAATTAATGAGGTTCTGAATTAGTAAATGGTTTTGGCCTTGATCTTCAGGTGTCAAAACTGTGAGCTAGTGCAGCCTCTAAAGTTCTATCTTCTTTCTTTTTAAAGTTCTATCTTCTTTCTTTTCAGGTTTCTGAAGTCCAAGAGGCTAGGAACTGTGTCCCATTAGTAAATTGTTATCTGGCTGGGTGAAGTGGCTCACACCTATAATCCTAGCACTTTGGGAGACCAGCCTGGGTCTTGGTGAAACCTTATCTCTACAATAAACACAAAAATTAGCCAGGCATGGTGGCATGTGCCTGTAGTTTCAGCTACTTGGAAGACTGAGGCAGAAGGATTGCCTGAGCCCAGCAGGTCGAGTCTGCAGTGGCCATGTGTGTGCCACTGTACTCAAACATGGGCCACAGAGTGAGACTCCAACTTAAAAACAATTCTGTTATCAAACCAGGTGTGATTTTCAAGTTAGAGAAACAAGAATAGTTGTGGATAGCATAGCTAGAATTGGCAATTCAGAACTTTTTAGAGGAGATTTAAAGGAGGGTCAGATGGAAGCCAGAGAAATCAATAGCCCAGGGATTATATACAGATCAGTACCTTTGAAATACTTTTCGGGAATTTATTTTTCAAATCCTTAAACCTTTAAAGATGGTTGGGGACAGATGACCTGTACCTCAGACCTCTGAACCACACTTCAAAATACCAGTCTCTCCCTGCTTTACTTTTTTCCCCCATTTGACTCTACAGATACTCAATATCCTGAGCCTTGATACTGGCCTAAAATGTTGTAACCCTTTGTGTTATAATTAGTTTGTTTTTTTACTAGTATTTTCAGTTTGCCAGAGTCGTGGCTTTTGATATTAGCTCATGGGAATTGGTGTAGTGACCTCAAGGAGAGTAGATTTTCAGGACAAGAGTGACATTGTTGTCCTGGACAAAATGGCAACAGGATCACAAGAGTCAGGCATAACAAGAAGTGTGTAAGATGAAAGTCAAGTTTATTGAAGACATAGGTTGAAGCTGAGTAATTTGATCCTTAAAAGAACCATTCAGGCCGGGTGCAGTGGCTTATGCCTATAATCCCAGCATTTTGGGAGGCTGAGGTGAGAGGATTGCCTGAGCCCATAGGTTCGAGACCAACCAGTAACCTGGTAAGACCTCATCTCTACAATATATTAAAAAAAAAATTAGCTGGGTGTGGTGGCACACACCTGTGTTTCTGGCTACTTGGAAGGCTGAGACGGAAGAATTGCCTGAACCCAGCAGGTTGAGGCTGTGGTGGCAGTGAGCATGCCCCTGCCCTCCAGCCTGGGCAACAGAGTGAGACTCTGACTCAAAAAAAAAACAAAAACATTCAAATAAAAGCAAGGACAAAGCTGGCTTGGGAGGCAGTTAGTTAAACACATTAAAAGAAAAGTAGGATATATGGCAAAAACACATTGAGTCTCCCACCAACTTCAGTAGGAAAAGAAGCTGTAAAACCAGCAGTAGCAGTGAGTGATTCTGTTGTTTTTTGTTTTTGAGTCAGAGTCTTACTCTGTTGCCAAGTTAGGAGCAGAGTGATCATAGTTCACTGCAGCCTCAACCTCCTGGGCTCAGGCAGTCCTTCTACTTCAGCCTCTCAAGTAGCTGGGACCAGAGGTGAAGGCCACCATATCTGACTTTTTTTATTTATTTTATTTTATTTTGTAGAGACAAGGTCTCACTATGTTGCCCAGGCTGGTCTTGAACTCCTAGGCTCAAGCAGTCCTCCCGCCTTGGCCTCCCAGAGTGCTAGGATTACAGACACGAGCCACTGCACCCAGCCTGGGATCTTAGATTTTATATTTCTTACAGAATATGAGTTTTCTAGGCCAGGCACAGTGCCTCACGTCTGTAATCCCAGCACTTTGGGAGGCTGAGGTGGGAGAATTACTTCAGCCCAGGAGTTCGAGGCTGCAGTGAGCTATGATTGTGCCACTGTACTCTAACCTGGGCAACAAAGCAAGACTCCATCTCTTAAAAAAGACAAAACCAAAGAATATGTGAGTTACTGGATCTTACCATCCGTTTGCAAGAGTTTTACTTTAGAGACTTGGAACCCTTCAGTAAGGTTGTCACTGCAAACCTATGAGAAATGCTTTTAGGAAGTTATTTTGGTATAGAGGAGTAGAAAAAAAGAGAAAAAGCCCTAGAAGCATGTAGACCAGTACTGGTTCTACCATAGTAATCTGAAATCAGAGTGTTGGTTGCCAAACTCAGTTCTGCCTAGATATTTTTTCTTAACACCTTCCTCTACTTACTTTCTTGGTTTCTGTGGTAACTGTTCAGCATCTCTGAGACCCCTCTGTATCCTTTGTCCCTGGGATTGCCAACATTCCCACATTGTATTGTTTACTGCTTTTTGTTTTTTGGAGTCTCACTCTGTTACCCAGGCATAATCATAATGCAGTGGCATAATCATGGCTCACTGCAGCTTTGACCTTCTAGGCTCAGATGAGCCTTCTACCTTGGCCTCCTCATTACCTGGGACCACAGGTATACACCATCATGCCCAGCATTTTTTTTTTTTTTTTTTGCCTAGGCTGGCTTGAACCCTTGAGCTCGAAAAGTTCTCTCGCCTTGACCTTCCAAAGTGCTAGGATTACATGTGTGAGCCACTGCACCCAGCCTGCCTTTTGCTTTTATTTCACTTTCTCCCCACTTTAAGGTTATTTTGTCATCTGGCAGTGCTGTTTGTGTCTATTTTGGGTTCCACTTTCTTGTGTAATTCCATTTATTTAAAGTTCAAAAACAAAAAAGGTAGAGGTCAGAATAGTGGTTACTTTGTGGGCAGGCGTTTGACTAGGAAGGGGCATGAAGACTTCTGAGCTACTTCTGGACAGCAGGGAGTTGACGAGATGTCACTGAAAATAAAACCTGACAGTTGATGACATTGTTTGTTAGCCCACTTTCTTTTAGAGGAAAAATTTGTACCGGGGATGTAATACTGGGAGACTGGGTCCCAAACTAAAGAATCAGCCCTGTGATAGGACATTTGTGGAGACTTCCCATGCTATAGCATTGTAGTGAAGTCATTGACAAGGTACATTTTCATTGTGCTCTATCCTAGAAGTGTGGAAGGCTGATGACCAGATGGAGAGAGACCACAGAAATCCAGATGAGCAGGCAAGGCAATTTGTAATTCTTAAGAACCAAACCTCAATTGAGGAAAGAGGCAGTATCTTTGGGAAAACACTTAGTCTGAATACAGACTTTGTTTCTTTAAGACAAATACCCTATAAATATGACTTATATGAAAAAACTTTGAAATATAATTCAGACTTACTCAATAGTAATAGAAGCTACACAAGAAAGCAAGCTGATGAGTGTAATGAATTTGGAAAAGCACTTCTCTATCTGAAGCAAGAGAAAACCCGTCCTGAAGCAGAATATTCTGAGTATAATAAAGGTGGAAAAGCCCTTAGCCATAAAGCAGCCATTTTTAAACATCAGAAAATTAAAAACTTGGTTCAACCTTTTATTTGTACTTACTGTGACAAGGCCTTCTCTTTTAAGTCTCTTCTCATTAGTCATAAGCGAATACATACTGGAGAAAAACCATACGAATGTAATGTATGTAAGAAAACTTTCTCTCATAAGGCAAACCTCATCAAACATCAGAGAATTCATACTGGAGAGAAACCCTTTGAATGTCCTGAATGTGGAAAAGCTTTCACCCACCAGTCAAACCTCATTGTACACCAGAGAGCACATATGGAGAAGAAGCCTTATGAATGTAGTGAATGTGGAAAGACATTTGCCCAAAAGTTTGAACTCACTACACACCAGAGAATTCATACAGGAGAGCGACCCTATGAGTGTAATGAATGTGCAAAAACCTTCTTTAAGAAATCAAACCTTATTATACATCAGAAAATTCACACGGGTGAGAAACGCTATGAGTGCAGTGAATGTGGAAAGTCCTTCATCCAGAACTCACAACTCATTATACATATGAGAACTCATACAGGAGAGAAACCCTATGAATGTACTGAATGCGGCAAAACTTTCAGCCAAAGGTCAACCCTTAGGCTGCATTTGCGAATCCATACAGGAGAGAAACCTTATGAGTGTTCTGAATGTGGGAAGGCCTTCAGCAGGAAGTCTCGACTCAGTGTCCATCAGAGAGTGCATATAGGGGGCAAACCCTGAGGCTGCAACCAGGTTGTGCTGTGGAAAACCCTTCCACTGGAACCCTTCTAGTGGGCTGGGCAAGAAACCTCATGAAAGTATTGAAGGAACATGGGAATTCACACGGATACAATTTCTCAACTCAAAAAATGTGTAAAAAATAGCTATACTAGATGTGACATGATACCCAGCTAAAGAATACATATCAGAATATATCCAACTGTAAATAGACATACTCAGCTCTATTACAATGAGCTTTTAAAAATCTGAAGTGAACTGAGTATTCTAAGCAGCAGCATAAAGGATATACAAACATTACCCTAGAAATGTAGTGGTTATGTGAGTATATCACAAAACACAAGTTGTATGTTTTAGATCTGCACATGTGAATTTAGCGTAATCACTGGAAGTTTGAAATTCTTGTCCTTTAGGACATATGAAACAAAATTTTCCATACTAAACATCACATGTATTTTTCAGTACCTCTGCAACCCCATAGGCATTCCAAATGAAATATGTAACAGATTTTAAAGTAGCATGTAATCTGTGTCTCTTCCTCCTGCTTGCTGGCATATGTAAGTTGGACCGTTATTGAGCTGCGTCTTTACTACAGAAAAATCGTTGTTTTGCCTGCTTCTGGTTTGCTGAAGATTTTCTAGAAGCATTATTTACATAAATATGCAAGTGTGAAATAATTAAGAGATCTAGAATGTGAAAGGAGGCAGATGTGGGCTGGATTACTCAGTATGCACCACAGAATAAACAATAAACACAGAAACCACCCATTTTTATTTGTATTTCCCTGTTTCTCTTGATGTTTTATGAAATTTTTGCAAAAAATAACCAACGTGATAAGATGCGTATATAGTTCACAAATGTTACATTTCAGAGACTAGAGGAAAAATAATTTTAAAAAACTGTCAAGAGTTGTTTAATTGCTTTTTAAATTTTCTGTATTCATAACCCACTTTAGAAATGAATTTTTGCAATATTCTATTTAAAGGAGGCGTTTCTACTTCCTTGAGTTTCACTCTTGTCAACCTAAAACATTTCCCTTTAGAACCTGACTTAGTATAAATTATTCTTTCCTTTCCTTTCCATGCTTATACTTTTAGACTTTTCAGTGATCTCCATATATTGTTTGATGATTAACATAAATTTTTTTTTTTTTTTTGAGTTGGAGTCTCACTCTGTTGCCCAGGCTAGAGTGGAAAGGCACACTCACAGCCACTGCAGCCTTGACCTGCTGGGTTCAGGTGATCCTTCTGCCTTAGCCTTCCAAGTAGCTGGAACTATAGGCACGCGCTACCATGCCCGGCTAATTTTTTGATTTGTTGTAGAGACGAGTTCTCGCCAAGTTGCCCAGGCTGGTCTTGAACCCCTGAGCTCAGGCAATTCTCTCGCCATGGCCTTTCAAAGTGCTGGGATTACAGGCTTGAGCCACTGCGCCAAGAATTTTTTTTTTTTTTGCATAACTTGAAGATAAGGCATTTAAGATTTAATTTCAAATTCACAAGTTCAGTCCTTTCTTATCAGTCACAAGTCATGCATTAGAATTATAAATGGCAACCAGAACTAGCCTTTTTTATTAGTTATTTTTGAAGATTATCGATATACCATGACTTTGTATAAATTTGAGCAACTTTTCGAACAAATTTACCAGAACATTCATAGCCCAATAAGTTTTTATCTTTCTAAGTTGTCATCTTGTATACTAACAGCAAAGAAGCAGAGGAAAAAATTAATTTCATATGCTGCTGTTGGAAATGTAAATTGTGACAGCCTCCTTGGAAAACATTGTGACTCTGTGTTTTAACATTTATATATAACTCCTTAACCCAGGCATCTACTGGGGATCTATCCCTAAGGAAAAAAATTAAGTGCCAGTACTTAAGATTATATGTTTACCAATGTATATTGTATTTTTTGGTAAGGACCAAGAAAAGGGGGATGGAGGGAGACCATCAGTAAGGGACTGGTTGAATAAATTGTGGTAAAACCATACCGTGGTTGGATGTATTTCATTGTAAAGAATGTGTGGGAGCAAATCCAGACTCCCTCAATTCAAATGAGGAAAGCAAGGAGGGTGTGTGTATGTACGTGAATAACAATTTTTGTAAATAAAGATTTTTAAAAACTTGCATATATGTATATTTATATATGATTTTATGGGCCTGGTGAATAGAATTGTTCTAAGTGAACAGAATACCTTCCATTTTTTTAATCTCTGGAATTCATCAGCTCTACCAGTAAGGATTCCGGCAGGAAACTGAATTGGCCCTGTATTCTTCATAATGAAAGATCTACTTAGAGAATGAGGTAAGGGTTAAGGAAGGAAACAAGGGATGGTGAGGCATCCAGACCAGCAGCACCAGGAGGCTGTTATCTCCCTAGGGACAAAGGGAGGAAACTTTTCAGGAGCTCAGTGAGTCAAAATCTTGGGAGAGGATCTAAGTGGATGTTGAAGCCCTAGAGTTGCAGTGGCTGTGAGAAACAGAAGCACAGCAGGGAGGGAACGGAGGCGAGGAGGCCTCCCTGCTTTGCTGTTCAGTCTCCTGCAGATGCCTCTGCTGACTAGACTCGACCAAAAACCCAGGTGACAGGTGACACAGGGATAAAGCAGGGCAGAGAAGGATGGAAGATGGACCCAGAGGGCAAACAGCACAGACGTGTCTCCCATTCAGCTTCTCAACCTTGCTGGTCCAACTCTAGTGGTAGCTGTGTTCTCTCATGTCCCTTGTGCATTTAGAGGTAGAATAACTGCAAAACCCAATTTCAGAGGAACTACAAATTTGGTAGTTATTGCATGGATAGTGTTTCAAGGCGGATGAAACTACCTAGAAAATGAATGTAAAGAAGAATTTTGTAAAGAAGAATTTTGAGGCCTGAGCACTGGCACTCACTCCGATGTTTAGAGGGGTGGAAAGGAACCGGTAAAGGGGCCTGAGGAGGAGCAACTAGGGTTAGGATGAAAACCAGGAGAGGGTAGTATCCTGGAGCCAAGTGAAAAAAGTATTTCCAAGTAAAGGGAGAGGTCACGGTATCAAATACTACTATGTGAAATTGGGTATGCACTGAGATTAGTCATCAGTGAGGTCATTATGACAATTTTCTAAGAAGTGGTCAAGGCAAATCTAGTAGGATTCAAGATCAAGTTGGAAATAGGAAGTATGGACAAGGAGTAAAATGTTATGGACTAAAGAGTCAGATTTGCCATACTTGCAAGATAACAGGTTAGCCTACCATAGTATCATGGATACTGGCAGAAGACATATTGATTTAGAAAAAAATGCTTTTGATATTTTTTATTCATAGCAGTCACAGTAGCCAGAATATCATTTTCTTGTGCTATTTCCTCAAGCCATTTCCAACAGGATGACACAACAGGGGCCATGTGATGCCTCCACATGCTGTAAGGTTGTGTTATAGGAGAGGAGCTCCGAGTCTAGGAGCCTGAACCTTAAGAATGGGCTACAAGCAAACATACCAAACATTTGCCTGGAAGAAACACATGTTCTTTATTGTGCTGGATGTGCTCTACCCTGGAGAGAAAATTACCTGTCTCCTAAGACAACCATTCATTCTGAAAAGGTAGTCCGGAATACAGGCCATCAGCGTCAATATTTCTAAGATAGGCAGAAACATGATAAACCTGTGGAGACTTGTCTCCCAACACAGAAATAGATGGGAAGCTGAAGAGATGTGAGCTCAAGAGGGTTTTGGTGTTTTAAGATTTTGGAAATTCTAGGACATATTTATGAATTCACAGCAATGACCAGTAGGGGGAAAAAGTTATGCTGAAGGAGACAAGATACTGGACTAGAGTCAAGTCTGAACAGGTCAGAGAACATTGGGATCCAGGATGCTTGTCTGGATCCCAGATGGTCCTCTGACTTCATGAAGAAGTCAGACGTTGGAGCATCAACCAGGAAGAAGGCAGGGAGGGTGTGGGAAGAGAAGCCTTGAGGGCTTGTAAAGTTCTCATCCAATTGCTTTTATTTGCTCTGTTAAGCAGGAAACAAGCCGAGAGTGATGATGGTGGAGAGAGAGAGAAGGAGCTAAGGAAATACCGTGTAGATGTATTAAAGCCACACTTGAGGTTAGTGGTCATGGGTTTAACAATGTCAGGCCCCAAGGCTGCGTGTTTTGCTCCAGCCACGTTCAGCAGAGTTGGACTTAGCTTGGCTTGACTGGTGTGAAATGCCCAAGTGTAACTACAGTGTGAATCATGGGATTTAAGCTGGTTAGGAGAAGAGTCAGAACTTGGAAGGGAAACCAAAGTGATGTCAGCAAGGTGGAAAAATAGAAATTTCCAGCACTTGGCCCCGAGCAGAAAATCAATTTGAACAACTGTCTACCACAAAAATACCTTCACAAGAGCTAAGGAAACCAGGTGAAAGATTACAACAAGCCGGGCTCGGTGGCTCAGCCAGCGCTTTGGGAGGCCGAGGTGAGTGGATTGTCTGAACCTGTGGGTTCAAGACCCACCTGGGCAACTTGGTGAGCCCTCATCTCTACAATAAATCAGAAATTAGCCTGGCGTGGTAGTGGTGACCTGTAGTTCCACTACTTGGAAGGCTGAGGCGGGAGGATCGCTGGAGCCCAGCAGGTCGAGGCTGCGGTGGCCGGGAGCGTGCCACTACACTCCAGTCTGGGCGACAGAGTGAGAATCCAACTCAAAAAAAAAGAAAGATTACAACTACCCAGTTGTTGCAATAAGCACAGAAATAAGACATTGAAGAGGATAGAACCGTGTTACATTATTCTTGCCACCTCTTCCCCAACCCCAGGCACCACAGCTTGGAGAGAGATACCACCCACTTAATCGAAGGAGAGGGAAGTAAACAGATTTTACCTGTGACCCTAACGCCAGCTCACCGCAGTAAAACTTGGTGCTGGGCACCCTCCCCCCCCCCCCCCCACATTGCCCTAGTCTCCAGGGCAATACCCACCAGTGAGCTTCCAGGCTCACCGCCCCCCGCCTCAGGCTGGATCTCACAGCCTCCGGCTTCAGGCCTGTGCAACAAAGGTCTCTAGGCTCCCTTCACCTCCAGGCCAACCTCAGTGATCCAAGGCTCACCCCAACGCCAGGTACTACAGTCGGGTTCCAGGCCTTCTCCAGGCCTACAGTTTCAGGCTTCAGGCCTGCCCCAGTGTCCAGACCAGTGCTCAGAGCCATACCAGCACTCTTGGCCTCAAGCTCCAGGCCAGTCCTGACCCCACATGCATACTGGGCACAGCCCTGGCCCAGCACCATGTCAGCCCCCATGGACCTAAGCTTCAGGCCAGCCCATGGGGATACAGGTTCTAGGCTTGCCTTCAAGGTTCCAGATTCCAGGTCCACCCCAGTAGATTCAAGCTCCAGGCCCCATCCCACAGATGCAAACACCTGGTCTGCCCACCTGCTGACCGAGGCACCAGGCCAGCTTGACTAAGGACTTCAGCAAAATGTCCACCCGCGGACCACATCAGATAGCCTTCCCAGAATCTCTGGAAAGACTGACTGGTGAAGAACTTGCCCAGACAAAGCCAGTCTGCAAAAACTGAAATGAGTCCCTTCTTCAAATGCCCAAATATTAACATACAACCACAAGGATCAAGAACAAGCAGGGAAATATGACCCCATCAAAAGAACAAAATAAAGCACAGTAATTGACCTTAAAGAACTTAAGGTACCTGAAATCCCAGCACTTTGGGAGGCTGAGGCGAGAGGATTGCCTGAGCCCAGTGTTCGAGACCAGCCTGGGCAATTTGGCAAGACCTTGTCTCTATAATAAATCAAAAAATTAGCTGGACATGGTGGCGTGTGCCTCTAGATCCAGCTACTTGGAAGGCTGAGGTAGAAGGATCGCCTGAGTCCAGCAGGTAGAGGCTGTGGTGGCCATGAACGTGCTGCTGTACCACTCTAGCCTGAGCAACAAGTGAGAGTCCGACTCAAAAAAAAAAGAAAGATGATTTATGATCTGCCTGAAACAGCAAACTTTAAGAAAATACAGGGAGGCTAGGCATAGTGGCTCACGCCTATAATTCTAGCACTTTGGGAGGCCAAGGTGAAAGAACTGCCTGAGCCCTTGGGTTCAAGACCAGCCCGGACAACTTGGCATAGACCTCATCTCTACAATAATAATAAAAAAAAATGAGCCGGGTATGGTGGTGTGTACCTGTA